TATTTACCCACATTATGAAATAAATTTTCTTATCTATTACATCAATGAAATTTTTATACTTATTTCTAACAGCAATTCCAAAACCGCCTGACTTTCTCAGTGATCTAGTTCTATGATGTAAGTATAAGATGTAGCCTTGGATATGGAGATCATCTAATATATCAGTCTTAGTCTCTTGAAAACCAATAATGTCTTTATTTTCAATTAAGTTTAAAAATTCTTCATATTCAAGTCGTTTGCGGAGACCACATACATTAATACTTAAAAACTTAATAGGGACACAGTTATTACAAAGAGTTCTATGTCTGTCATCATCATCATCATCATCATCATCATCAATATTATCAACATCAATATTATCAACATCAATATTATCCACATCAATATTATCCACATCAATATTATCAACATCACTATTATCAACATCATTATTGTCAACATCATCATTATCAACATCATCATCATCAACATCAATATTATCCACATCACTATTATCAACATCATTATTGTCAACATCATCATCATCAACATCAATATTATCAACATCAATATTATCCACATCAATATTACCCACATCACTATTATCAACATCATTATTGTCAACATCATCATTATCAACATCAATGTTACCAGCATAATCAACATCAACAAGATCAGTATCAATATGTTCATCATTACCATGATCACCTACAACATGGTTAGCATCACCATGTTTCACACAACGCCCAACAGGGAACGAACGCCTTCACGTATTGCACTTATATAAGCTATACATGTTAACAGACGTTTGATCTGTTACCCTGTGAGATTCGGCTGCAACTGATCCAGAATTACATGCGTTATCTCACATTAAAGCAGATTAAATTCGTGAAAATACACATGTACGCTTTTGCGGGGGAGAGTCTGAGTGTATATTTGAAAACATCTAACGGTGTGAATGACGTGACAATGACAATACAAGGTGAACGGCGGGTGACGTTGGCAGCGCAACACACAGCCTTATTTACACCCTGGCAGCCCAGCAAACAACCTTATTTACATCCTTGCAGCGAGCCCAGGTATCCGAGGGTTGCAATCCATACGTAGACGGAGTAGACAGTGGGAGCAATAGTTACAGGAATACGGAAGTATTGAACTTAATGGGGGGACCTGTGTTTCCACACGTATTGAAGATTTTGAAGAAAGCTCACATTTTGGCATCAGGAGAGAGAACGGAGCTGAAGTACGTTTCGAAGATCAGTAAAGTATGCTAACGGATATCTAATCCGTTCATTACTGAAAGAAATATACTGACAAAAAGCTTTGATTGCGGAGTGATTTTGATTATAATGGTAGACACTACAGCATACCATGCCTAGATTCTATACTCAATAACAACAGAAACTTGACACAAACTGTATTGGTAATAATAGTGAAGGGGTAATTCTTTTTAGTTTCCTGTTGTTTCATACACACGGCAATGCCATGTGGGCTGTTTGAACATAGTCATGGCAAACGGCGTGAACACTTTGGTTGTAAAGCGTGACAAAAGCGTGAAACATAGCAATCACGACTTTAGAGATGGCACGTACATGGGCATGCATGCACACAGACGTTGCTAGGCAGGAAAAACGCATTAAAATTGCAAGATAATAATAATAATCATAATAAATTACAAAGAAGCAACCGAGCGTGCTTAATGCTGACAACATCTGTTGCAGCAGTTGCACGAGCCAACAATACACAGTCTGAGGACCCGTGTGCAACCGTTGCAGATGAACCAAGGACTGGGGCGCCGCTTGTTACTTCACCCAGGGATACTCTACAACATAGAGTCTCCCTGCTTCACCCCAAGATGACGTACAAATCAAGTTACGTCACCCCCGCAACAGAATTTGTGACTGCAACCTCCTTCACAGACATTTGTTCCGACCACAAGGAATTGACTGTGCACCGCAGGTATCCGAGCTAGACGACCACACACAGGAACCATCCTGACGTAATTTCATTATGCTCAACGTTTCCTCTGGGTTCGCAGACATGCCAGATTCAACCAGATCCAGCGGAACAAGGTTGTCTCCAGTGACAGGACGCGGGTATGGCGCGTGAGGGAGGAACGTCACGGGTTGTGTTCGTGAGGATGACCGTTGTAAAAGGGGCAAGGGAACTTTTCGATATCATTATCTGGCCGTCCTGTCCCCTTGAACCCGATCTAATACATTTGGATGAGCTGGAAGACGTGTGCAACAGCTAGTTGCAAGAACACTGTCACGCTTTCGTTGACTAGTCTTGACCAAGTCCAGGTAGAGTGTTCCTATAGGTTCTATTGTCCATTAGGAGATGTGTTGCCGTCCCAGGAGACCACACATTGACGTCTTCTGTCCCAAACGTTGTATGAATGTGAAGGTCGCGTTAAGGGTTCACGGAACGTCATGCATTATGGTGTTGGTCAAGTCTGAAACTACAAGTTTTCCTATATTCTTTTCCAAGATTCTTCATGATTTGTCTTGCACTGGGGTCAACATCGGGTAATAAATAATGGAACACGTGTACTTTCATGTGTTTCCTTCTTCGTTTTCCTCGGTATATTTATTGTTGTATTGCTATTGCATATGGATGATGGGCGGATGAAGTAAGTAAGCAAGAAGGGGAAAAGGGAATAATGAATAAGCAAATATATGAATAATTTATATAGGATGTTGAGATAGAGTAACAAACAAGTCAGTTTCGGCCAACTACATGGATATGTCATGAAGGATACATTCGCTGATAGAGTGGTGAGCGAATAAAAGAGTTAGTGATATCACATATCCCGTGAGTGCCTTCGTCCCACTGACCAGCAAACCCGCACAGTCTCACTCGTTACTTTGCCGCCATTGTGAACAGCCCTATAAGTTACACGACGTTTACCAAACAAGAGCACTCACATTGTCTGCAGGACAAGTGAAATGTCCCACTCTTTATGACACCAGTCAGCTTTCCCTGTTTTCTCTTTTTCTGTATACTGCAGAGATTAGATTACCTTCGATCACATTACAAGTATTGTGGTTTTCTCATGAAAGGAATGTATTATAACCTATCAATTAGGCACAGCCAAATGTCGAGACTTGTCATATCCATTGATTAACACTTACACACGGTATCGTTGACGCACGTATTTTGGTCAGCATTTGAAGGTCATTGGTGTTGGTGTTGAGTTTTCTGTGACTGTCGTTTTGCCCTGCTTGAACGTGTGCACGGTATTTTTAATGTTGCTTAATATCTTTAACCATGCAAGCAGATCCGGGCGTAGTGTAACTGTCTCGTGTCTCAAGCTACTCTTAAAGTTGAACTTAAATATGGTCATTCTCCGGGTTAGTAACACATATATTTCGTTTAGCTATTAAGTTATTTACTAGTCTTTTCCTGGAGGCATTTAATTTATCAACGCTGGTGGTTATGTCAGCCTGACGGGTACCCACTGACCAACAGTGATAAAGGAAAGGAATAATTTTTTTCCTCTTTCTGAAAACGTCATCAATTAAATTGCGATAGCGTTACGATATTTGCACTAGATGTAAAATAGTGAAACAACTAGCGTGTTGCAACATCTGTAGAGTAAATTGTACAACTTTACTTGTTAATTCTGCTGATAGTTATTTCATAACGAGACTTGGGCAGTGATAATCTTCGACATGTTGCCAAGGTAACTCTACCCCAGCTGTAACTAGCATGAGCATGGTCTGGTATTTCCAGGCCTGTGAGTGTTAAAGTTATCTCCAGTCTCGTGATAGGGACAGAGTGAGTTTCACCAGTCCACTCCGTCCCTAGATATAAGCTAACCAGCTCTCAGCCGCGATACTGAGACCTTGGTATTAATTACACTGTAATTGATATTAATTTAGAGCGAGTAATTTCAGTCGCGGATAACACTTGGACGTGGCGTGGCCGACTTTGAGAAAATGTTTAGAAAATCTCCCCCCATCCTTCACCCCTAAGGGACTAAGCCGCTCACCCCACGGGGAATCTAACTGATCCACAGAGGATTGAACCAGGTAGAGCCCGGTGCTGCCAGATGGGCCTACAAGCAAGGACGATGTTATAACAAGGCCGGACGGACTTAGGGAAGTCAGAGTGAAATTAAAACGGAATATAATGTCGTTAGTTTAAGACAACGCAGTGGTCAGAAATAAGTAACACAATTATGAAGTCTGGGGCGAGGTTCAGCTTGGTTAAAATGTGACTTGGGGGCATTTCAAATGTCGAGGATGTGAACGGCCTGTGCAACAACACGTTGACATTCAGAACAAGTGCCACTATCTATGGTGATGGTCATAGAATCAGGCTGGTGTACAACTGTGTTGAATGCACGTGAAGCTAAAGGGCTCGTTCAACAGCGCGATAGTTGGTCCACTCAGAAATCCTGACTATTATCAAAGCCGTGACTATCCGAACCTTAAAGATACCCCAGAGCAGAGGTCTCCGAGGGTTTGAATACTAGGAAGGAGAGATTACCTTTCGGAGGCATATCTACCCTACAGCCACAACTGTGAAGTTGGCAAGATGAGAAACAGCGCTAAAAATGTCGAAAATGAAGCTAAAATAGGAATACCACAATTTCCTGGACTTTAGTAAAGGATGAGAAGACCATGACAAATGTTGAATAGTTCCCCGAGAGATGGTCGTTCTGAAAGACATTGTTCAAAATATGCTTCCTAGACCAGTGCTTTGACGTTCTTCATTGGGCGTACATCTGTGTTGTTGTGGTGGACACGTGGAGTGGGAGGTTCATGGTGTCTTTTGATTCAGTACTCAAAGTTGGTAAAGTTAGAAATACAACTGTATCTCTGATACAAGGACGACCTTTTCCATGATAACATTAGCATCCGATGAAAGTTTTAAGTTATAATACAATTGTACAAGTGATTGTAACCGACAATACATAACAGTGAACCCATAACAGTTGGAGAGACTGCTAGGTAAGACGACCCAAGGCTACTGCTATCGTGTTCCCCGCCAGCAGAGCGCACCTCCAGCACTTGATGAGGCTTAGTGGACACCGAGCTGTAGGATGTCGGGACAAGACAACCCGTGCACAGTTTAAGGTAGGTGCTTCACCTTCTGCTGTAGTGACACAGTTACATGCCACGTTGTTCTTCGCATGAAGGAAACAACTACAAGGATTTTCTAGGTTAATTGTCTTTGGGGTAGATGCTGCTCGCGCTGAAAGTGACGTCACTCAACCTCAGTAGATATGTGTATACGTTTTTTCAAGCATGCTTTGACTGGAATTAAAGTAAAACGCTTGAAGGCATCCGGTAGAATTTAACTAAATTCTCCACCATAGTGATAAAAGAGGATATTTGACAAGGTGTCGTTATATAAGATTTGTTACCGGGAAGATTTAGTCTGGATATTTAACATTGGTTATTATTTGATAGTCACAGTAAAGGTTGTGCAAGATGATATCAATCTCAATCCAGGTGATAATATCTGAAGCGAAATTTGACATCAATGTAAATGAAATCGTCCAGAAAGAAAGTATGAATCTTATGTGGACGTGATCAGTGGTTTCACGTGACACAATGACATCATGGAATGGCTGATCATCAGGTATTATGGATGTATAACGGACAGCGCCCCCTCGTCAGGGTACCAAACACCTGGTGACTGAAGAGTGACGGAACGAGATTGCTTTGCTCTTCACACTCACACGTGTACTGGACATGTTTCAGTAATACTTTGAATGTGTTTCTCAATCTTCTTTGGACGATATCATTTTCATTTAATGAAACAGGGAAAATAATTTCGATAAACAATAGAAAATAATGAAAATAATCTTATCCGTCCTGCCAGGTTATGCCTTAGTCAGCTACTACTACTACTACTAAGTACTACTACTACTACTACTACTTCAATTACTACTACTACTACTACTACTACTACTACCACTAGTAGTAGTAGCAGTAGTAGTAGTAATGCTGATCCAGCTGCTTCTATTTAATCAATGAGTTTATAAATGGTAAAGTAAATAGTGGATAGGCAAATTATCAAACAAACATGAAATTTAAATTTTTAAAGCATTTTACAAAATTTCCATAAAATTCAACATACAACTTTCCAGTACGTGCATAGAACAAAGGAAATTAACATAGATAGATGATGGCAAGTTGGTCAAAATTTATAGAATAAGCTAATATTACACTCAGTTATCGCTGAACACTATAATAGGCACATTATTGAATAATTTATGAATGAATTCATTCTTATTATGAGTACAACTACAACATTACGCAATGGAAGAAACAATTGCTGAGTGATGAATAAAGCATACATATAATATATAGCCCTTAAATCCGTATTTTACCTGTCAACCCGTTACTCTTCCTTGTGTTATAGCATGGAATGAAAGTGGTAGGTTGGCAAGGTTTCCCAATTACGACAGCACTGTTACATTTAATCTGGGATACTTCGTGGACGATGTACGGCACTGTCTGCGTTGTCACAGAGTGTAGTTGAAGCAGGTATTTCATGGGCTCTTGCAGGAATGTTCCTCCTTAGACCCACGCAGAAAGTCTGAGCACCTAATGAATTTTCTTTGTATGTTAATGGGTAACATGTCACACAGTATGCCTTCAAATATTTACGTTTTTCTTTGAGAGCTCCCGATCTTTGTTAATATTTAAGCTTCCATTGTTCACGGGCACTCCTTTCCCGCGATGAAGTAGTATACTGATAACATTTGTAATGGATATCGATGTGTTTTAATAAGAAGCCTTATTGACACAAACGTTCAACTGATATATATATATATATATATATATATATATATATATATATATATATATATATATATATATATATATATATATATATATATATATATGTGTGTGTGTGTGTGTGTGTGTGTGTGTGTGTGTGTGTGTGTGTGTGTGTGTGTGTGTGTGTGTGTGTGTGTGAGAGAGAGAGACTAAATCGCCTTCACTTGAACGGATCACGTACAAACGTATGGCTCAAATACAATGATCAACTGTTATCGAGTTATGACACAGCGTTAACCATTACGTTTGTGTCGTCATTCCCTGTAACACAGGGGCGAATATATCACAACCAAGTACTCTCTTATAGTTTGGTAACTTGCTAATAACTCTTAAAAGTGTGTTCATCTTTTAATTAGGTTAGTGGTGTTGGCAAAACACCCGTATTAAGTAACGTTATTGGTGTAGTGTTACAGATAATGTTGTGCTATTGGCTAAGAGTTTTGAAAATATATTAATTTGAAATGAAAAATAGTGAGATTTCAAGTCGAGATAAATTTTAAAACTCCTCTTTTTCTTCATGTTGTCCTTGTCACTGACCTGCTGGATCTGAAAACTGTTTTTTTTTAAGTTTTTAAGATTTAAATTGGTTCCCAAGATTACAATAGCACAGATATACAAAGCCGTGATGCATACGGCTTAGAATAATGCAGAAACAATATGTGCATGTATAATATCAACATATTAATATATTCATATGCATGCATAGTTCATTAAACGTGCATTGGATTCAAAGTGTGAAACTAATATCAGTCGCAGCCAAGAGACAGAGTAAGTAGTGAACAGGTATTACTGACACAACTAGAGACGAGTCATTATTTTCAGGGACAGTACCAGGTAATCCACTCATAGTCTCTCCCTTTCGTGGGCGGTGGGGTAGTCTAGTGTTTAAAGCGTTCGCTTGTTACGCCGAAGACCCGGGTTCGATTCCCCACATGGGTACAATGTGTGAAGCCCATTTCTGGTGTCCCTGGACGTGATATTGCTGTGATATTGCTATAAGCGGCGTAAAACTAAACTCCCTATTTCGTGAAGAAAAGAAAACTCCTTCCAAAATAATTTGTGATCATCATTCATAATGTAACATTTCGATTGCAGCAAGTTTTATTTTATGTTCTAGCCTGGTGATAAGAAGGTGGAAAACGGTCCAGGTCGTTTGATAACTGTACATTTGCGGTTAAGGGACCGTATCAATTATTTTTTCACCTAACGAAACATACAGTGACATGACTTGCTGGGTTGTTTTGTGTGAAGAACCTGTCATGCTTCTTGTATAAGAACAGGTTTATAGGAAACGGTACCCCTGCTCGGTACCCAAGCTCCGTACCCAAGCTCCAGTACCCTTGCTCGGTACCCCTGCACGTTCCTGTTAGTTCTTGCCCTGATTGGACGGATGGAGAATCCAGGGGTCATCCCAGTTAGGGCCCCATCAATCGGGGGTAGTGAAGGGGCAGGAGAGAGAAAGGCATCGTACAATACCCCACGTGATTAGCGTCACGTGGTTAACCCCATAATGTCGTAATGCCAATGGTGTCGATGATTGGTCCCATTTAATGTGGAAACCTCTTTACGTTCATGAATGTCTTCGGTAAGAACAAGTGTCGTTTTATCTTTATTTCGAGAAAAGCAGGGTATTGTTTAACGAGTTTGCTGATCAGGACTCTGAAGGAACCATGATATTGACACCGTCTTAGAGATTTTCAAGATTGTTGATCGCGTTCATTACGCTAAATGGTTCCTCGGTCCCGTTCCACCGATGTCCTTGGTAAGACAATATGTTTTATATACCAGTGAAATCCCGGCTTGGACGTGTTCTTCAACAAACTATACTAGTAGAAAGAGGTGACTAACGTGATTGGATGGGCACACTCGATGACTTGGTTGATACATACTATACATTTGGGTAGATCATTGCTCATGACCTCATTCGACTGACTGGATCCGCCTCGATTAATGTACTTACAGCTGGACTATTTTGCTGAGTGTCAAACATACAACATATCTTGTGACTTAGTAATGTCATAGTAACTACATCCACCACTGTGTGAGTTGTGGGACACATGGCAAGTCCAAGGGTTACAGATTAACAATCGGTTGCCAGTTGGTTTTGATTCTACAAGTCATGTATTATGTTAAATTAGTAAAATTACTCGGTATACAGAATTCGTTTGGCAAAAACGTCTACTCTGTAGTCGAAATTAATTGAAATATAGTATTGATATATTTCTCTTCTAAAGACAGACTCGGTGTTTGAAGAAGACTTTTCAGATAGACAAATTTGGGTTCGGATCAACTTTAACCCACGTTTAACACAATTAATGCTATCTGTGCTGGCAGTGATAGTAGTGCATCTATTCATAGCGCAATGAGCGGATTCGTGGGGTCGGGGGGAAAGGGAATGTTTCCAAAACGATTAATTCATGCACTATAGACTATCACTGCAAAACAAATACTAAATATCTAAGCATGGGTTGCAAACAATTCTTTCATCAAATTAGTTATACTTTAAGGCAATATAATGCTACCAAATGGTTTATTATACCGCCCCCGTAGCTACCTCTGACACAGTGGTTTACATATGAGTCCATTCCATTTATAGACACTTGGCTTGATGTCATGATCGGCCATCTTGCCATCAACATTAGATGGGTGTATCTAAACTAAACTAACCTCAAACCCACATCAGAGTGAAAACAAGTCTTATCAAACAAATTAGTGTTTTCAAAAGAGAGACCTTATTTTAAGAGATAACTCCGTGGCGGGGATCGGATTTGTATAAGTGAGTGTCAAATTGAATGTGGCGGGGAAGATCAAGGAAACGTCATTACAACACACAGGCTTGGAGTACAACCACTCATTTGTGTACAGGGACGGTGTTTTTTTCATATTTAAATTTTGTTTTACTCTCTCTCTCTCTCTCTCCCTCCTGTGTGTGTGTGTGGTGTGTGTGGTGTTGGTGGGGGGAGAGTGAGGTACGGCGAGGTTGGATGGATGTACCTCTTTCTGGGGTCTTTGAATGGCATTTAGAAGTGATACACACAAGGAAGAGAGTTTTTATGGATGTCAACTTCTTTATTATGAGGAACACAACGTTTCGGAGTATATCCTTGCTCCTTCATCATTCACCTCATGATAAAGAAGTTGACATCCATAAAACCCCCTCTTCCTTATTCTCTATCTGTCAGGTTTAAATTATCGATCAAACGTTGTGTATGACATCCCAGCTGTTACATCAGGATGTTGTCCCCATTGCTCCAACACTGAACTAAAGGAGGCTGGCTATGAAG